GCGATTTACTTAGGTCCAAAGTCTTCTCTATATTTCGGCTTTGAGTCATTGTTTACAGTCGCCCTGATATTCAATATTTGTAAATCATGGTGACACACGCACAGTTGTTAAAGCACAATTATATGAAACATACCTTTATATACACATTTTCAGAATATCAGCTTATATCTAATCGATTGTTATATATATTTTAATTTAGCGAAGTGGAATTTAATTTCAAAATGGCCTCCATTTTTCTGATGAGTGAGCTGTATAAATGGCGGATCTGTTGAGTTTGAGGTTCTTTCCGAAAATAAATTTTAAAACATCTTGATCCAGACAAGCAACGCTTCAACTTAAATATGATTAATATTCTTATAAATATTTGTAGGAATTATTAAATATGAGTTCTAGGTGCGTGTGACTCTTTTTCTAGATTACATACGAAATCAATGAAGTTACATCTACGTACCCGTAAGCTATTCAATGCAACATTCTTCAACAAAGTGCGTGTTCCATTTTTTCAACAAATTGTTCTCTGAGTTGACAGATGCAACATCCCTCGACAAACTGTTCTCGGAGTTGACATATTCAACATCCCTCAATCAACTGTTCCATGATTCGAAAGATTCAACCTCCCCCAAGAAACTGTTCCTTGAGTTTACAGATGCAACATTCCTCAACCAACTGTTCCTTGACTTTACAGATGCAATAATCCTCAACCAACTGTTCCTTGAGTTTACAAATGCAATAATCCTCAACCAACTGTTCCTTGAGTTTACAGATGCAACATTCCTCAACCACCTGTTCCATGACTTTACAGATGCTTTATCCCTCAACCAACTGTTCCTTGAGTTTACAAATGCAATAATCCTCAACCAACTGTTCCTTGAGTTTACAAATGCAATATCCCTCAACCAACTGTTCCTTGAGTTTACAGATGCAACATTCCTCAACCAACTGTTCCTTGAGTTTACAAATGCAATAATCCTCAACCAACTGTTCCTTGAGTTTACAAATGCAATAATCCTCAACCAACTGTTCCTTGAGTTTACAGATGCAACATTCCTCAACCAACTGTTCCATGACTTTACAGATGCAATAATCCTCAACCAACTGTTCCTTGAGTTTACAAATGCAATAATCCTCAACCAACTGTTCTTTGAGTTTACAAATGCAATAATCCTCAACCAACTGTTCCTTGAGTTTACATATGCAACATTCCTCAACCAACTGTTCCTTGAGTTTACAAATGCAATAATCCTCAACCAACTGTTCTTTGAGTTTACAGATGCAACATTCCTCAACCAACTGTTCCGTGACTTTGCAGATGCAATATCCCTCAACCAACTGTTCCTTGAGTTTACAAATGCAATATCCATTAACAAACTGCTCGTTGAATAGGCAGATGCAATAGCATTCAACAAACTGTTCCATGACTTTACAGATGTAACATCCCTCAACAAACTGTTCCATGACTTTACAGATGCAATATTCCTCAACCAACTGTTCTTTGAGTACAAACAATTCTCGAGTTGACAAATGCAGCATCCATCAACAAACTGTTCCCCGAGTTGACAGATGCAATATCCCTTAACAAACTGCTCGTTGAATAAGCAGATGCAATATCACCCAACAAACTGTTCCGTGACTTTACAGATGTAACATCCCTCAACAAACTGTTCCATGACTTTACAGATGCAATATCCCTCAACCAACTGTTCCCCGAGTTGACAGATGCAATATCCATTAACAAACTGCTCGTTGAATAGGCAGATGCAATAGCATTCAACAAACTGTTCCATGACTTTACAGATGTAACATCCCTCAACAAACTGTTCCATGAGTTTACATATGCAACATTCCTCGAAAAACAATTCTCGAGTAGACAAATGCAGCATCCATCAACAAATTGTTCCATGACTTTACAGATGTAACATCCCACGACAAATTGTTCCCTTGGAGGGCAGACGCAACATCAATTGTTTTATCAGTTGGCAAATGCCTCATCCCTCAACAAACTGTTCCTATCATGTTTTACCCTAAAGTGGGGGATGCAACACTCCTCAACAAATCGTCATGATGGGCCAGTCTTAAGAATATACCAATCAAGAATATCTAAACATTTATAAAAACGATCTCCAGAGACCTGCAATTTTTGATGGTTGTTGCTTATGTTTGATCCAGACTGATATAAATATATGATACTGGGTAATATGAATTAATTGAGAAGTATTTATCGGAAAAAGAATTAATACAATGAAACACAAAAAGAGGATAATCATAATTATTAGTTGTATCTCGGCTGGAAACATAAAATTGGAGTTTACATCATCAACTGAATAATAAGTAATCCTGTGATAAAGAACATAGCTATGATGGGTTTTGAAGTACAATTTATAAACTCCATATTATGGATAGTATGATTTATATAGTTAATCTTAACTTTCCTCATCAACGAAGAAGCCATCATGAGCACGATCGAGAATGCTTCTTTGATCTGTCCGTTCTGCTCAGTGGTTATCAAAGAAAACAAAGCACACAAGTGGAAAAATATTTAAGAGCAGTGCAAAGTATGACAGGAAAAAGAAACATCTTAGAGATTAACCAGTCATAAAAGAAACGAGCCACAAATAAATGTTTTTGGGGTTGTCGAGTTGGCCGAGAGGGTTTGAGCGCCAGCACGTTCAGACTACGCGATTGGGCGCCGTAACCACGAGGTTGCGAGTTCGAGACGTGTGTGCTCCTTGTGTTTATTCATTTATTAGTAATATGCTGTTTATTACTTTTTATTGTTTTACCAAACCACCACGGTCTTTGAATTTTAGTAGGTCTGGGGAGATATTTATGTTGTTTTATCGAGTCATCTTGATCTTACAAGATCAAATAAAACAATGAATATTTCTCATATTGAGAGCAATGTTAATAATGTATGCATTAACCATTGTGAAACATGAAAAGGTGATAATAAAAGTCATCAGAGATGTCTGAAATATTAGAAAAAGACAACACATGACAGTTATTATATAACAGCTATTATTGAATAACTATGATTGTATGACATTGACATCATATAATGAATAATGTGCTAGATACCGACGGCTTAACAGCAACACCCATTCTAGATAAATATTAAAGATCTATTCGTAGATAGTTTGAATTATGCTTTGAGTCTGGCGCGCGAGTCGTCTATTTTCACATTTATTCCAAAAGAAAGACACACTTAGATTATTCCCTAAAAATTAATGACACTGTTTATAAAAATAGGTACCAAGTCAACTTCTAATAAGGTACGAAAAACCTAAACACCTATAATCGAAACTGACAAATATGTTGATGTGAGTTACATAAGAGGAAAACATTAGATTTATAGAAGTTATCGATATCGAGTACACTGACGAAGGTAACACCCTTGGCTTATTCCTTCAAATCGATTTTGAGAAAGCATTTGACTCGGTTAGTTGGAATTTCATTGAAAAGGTTCTTACATTATTCAATTTTGGCAAGGCTTTAACCAAAATGGGTAAACACATTTTACAAAATGCTCAAATGTGAACATGTATAACAACGACGGGTATTAATCAACTATTTAATATCTTCTAGTGGAGTGCGACAAGCGGTGCCCTATCAGTATACCTTTTCATAATAGTAGCCATATCTATCAGACAAAATTATGATATTCAAGGTATCCGTTTAAATGATACTGAGAATAAACTTTCAATGTTTGCTAATGGCACAATTTTTTTCAGGTACTCAATAGAATTAACTGATTTTCCAGCCTCAAACCCAACCTTCTAAAAGCAAAAAGTAAATGGTTAGGACACTTTAAAGATATCCTCAACGAATTGGACCAAAGGCATCGTGTTAAGAATTAAAATCAATGATGAAATTCTCTACACATTTGTGGTTTAACAAAAATATAAATGAACTGATTGATTTTAATTTCACTTCAAAACTAAAGCTATTGAAAACTCACTTATCGACTATACTTATACTAAAACACAAAGAACAAATGATACATCAACTATCTTAACTAAACCAGAATGTTGGAAGGTACAGAACATTAGACAAATGGTATATGCATAGAAAAAGTATTACATTGTTACACTAATATAACATCATAACTTCGTTTTCTGTCAGAAAACCCATCATTAAGGCTGTTTTTAAGAAAAATCATGATAATCAGCAGAGTTGTCATTAAATGTTATCCGTCCATATTAACTCACAATTAGCAGGGAAATATGGATATCACCCTTGAGATATTCCCCAGATCAAATCCCTCCTGGTGAATAACTTCTTTACATGTATAGTGAATGAATAAGATGAAGAACTACTTATGTCAACATTTAGATCCATGCTATGCGAAATCTGAAAAACAAGTATATGATCGGGTCAGAGGGGTATTCCAGGACGATCTCTTTACAAATTAGCTTCTCTGATTAGGCTATATGTTTACGTCACGTGCCAAGAAACCTGTGAAATTATTCAAATAAAAAGTTAATAAATTGTTCGCATAGAACAACTGCCAAGATTGGATCATCGTCCAATCAGTTCCTCATCAATCATAATTTCATGGGAATTTTATCACATATACCCACAGTGCGTTTGCTAATTAGATCATGTTAAATGGCTATAAAACTGATAAACTATAGCATCAGAGGAAATTAAGTTATTTGGTTTAGTATTCAAGTATGGATTCTTCCTGTCTGTTACACCAAGGCTTCCTTATTACAACAGGAAAGAAGTGGTACAACTTTGTTAAGAATAGACTGTTTGAGTTCCCTGCATCGCTGTAGATACCTTCTTCTTCCTATGCGTATAAAAAAGCAACAAACAAATAAATTGCAAAACAACAAAACCAGAAATGACAGCATCAATTTAAATTATTGAATCATGAAATAATGTTTCCCTTCTTTTCAATGATATGTCAATTATTTCCATGGGGTGTTGGTTAGCTGAATAATCATTCCCTTTTCCATGTAGGCCAAAATAGGGCTTTTCAATTCCTCAAAGGTTAAGACTGGATACTGTAATTTCACTGGTAGATTTAAAAGGTTTGGAAGCTTTTTAACTCTTACCACACAGTGGGATAGACTTATCCTTATTTGTTACCAATTAAGTTTGATTTACATAATGACGGATTTTGACCCTATCTGTGTATCCTCAGTGATACCACATATGACATATACTTTATACTGGTGCCTTACATTTGCTTTTTTCACACACAGCATGATGTTGCTTATACTAATACTTGTCCAAGTCTCATCACTGGTTCCTGTTATCCTAAATATTGAGATTAAAACTAAGGATGTCATAGGACACACAAAATTGATCAACACTATAATTATTATCCTGGACATATTCCATATCCTCAGTGAACCTGATCTTAGTTTCCTGTTAGTAACTTTTGGAGGAGTGGAAAAAAATCCAGGCCCCACAGAAAGGCCAAATGAACTTAAATTTCTCTTCACTAATATAAATAGCATTGGAGCATCAAATGGCGCTAGATTTGAGTTATATCTAATCAAATAAGTATTGTAGGGATCTGTGAAGCTGGGAAGTATACGAATGATGTGATTGATCAAAGATTTTCTCTTGGCGATGAATTTCACCCACCATTATATAAACAAAACAATCGAGGATTATTGATTTATGTTAGGCGGGAACTATTGGTGAAACCAAGACCTGACCTAGATACCACAGACTGCATTTGGGTAGAGATTAAATATAAAAATACTAAAATTTTATATGGGATTTACTACAAATCTCCAAATTTAGATAAAAATCAAGAAAATATATTTTTTGATACCGCTGAAAACACTATTAAGCAGGCCTCTAAATGCCAGTGTGATTACCTACTGATAAATGGGGATTTTAACTCTAAGAACAAAAAATGGTGGTCTAAGGGGCAAACTGATTCAAATGGGGAAAGACTTGATGAAATTTTGATGGAATGTAACCTTGTTCAACTTATTCATGAAGCCACAAGAATAACTAATCAATCACGATCATGTATTGACCTAGCAATAACTAATTCACCTGATCTGATAAGGGAATCTAAAGTGACTCATCCAATAGGCTGTACTGACCATTCAACATTGGAACTTACATTTCCAATGAAAATTTTAGGAACTTCTAAACATCAAAAACGTATTTGGAAGTATGACCAGTCTAACATAGAGCGAATAAACAGCCAAATATTTGACATAAACATTGAACAAAGATATAATGAATGCAATGATATTGACCAATTAACAGAAACATTTACTAGAGATGTATTTAACATCTTTGAACAAAACATTCCAAATAAAATAACTACCTTTAATTCAAAAGATCAACCTTGGATAAATAACGATATTAAACACCTGATTAGGAAAAAATCACAATTTTATGAACAGTTCAAAGCAGATTGACCATGATAACTATAAACTTTTAGCTCAGCAAGTTAAAGATAAAATCACTGAAGCAAAAGAAAATTACCATTCCAAAATATGTGACAACCTTGAGGCAGAAAATAATGGAAACAACAAATACTGGGCAATCATTCAAAAACTTTTAAATAGAAGATACTATACTGGATTTCCCTCTTTGATTTTTGGGAATCTACTTGCAACTACAAGCCTTGAAAAGGCAAATTTGTTTCTATCTTTTTTTACATCAAAATATCACACTGACCACAATTTTGACCATTCACTCCCACAATTTAATAAAAGAACCCATATCAAAATGGATAACTTAAGCACATCATCAGAAGACCTTGACCTTATTATTAAATCACTAAAAAAGAATAAAGCAGCTGGCTTAGATAATGTAACCAATGATATGATCAAATTAGCTTCCCCATCACTATCAGTTAAGCTTGCTGACCTCTTTAATCTTATCTTCAAGACTGGAGAATTTCCAACTATATGGAAGGAAGGCAACACCATCCCCATCTTCAAAAAAACCGACAGATCAGCTATTGAAAATTATAGACCTATAACTTTACTTCAAGGATTTTCAAAAATCCTGGAGACAGTTGTCCACTCTCAAATTACCGAGCATATTTTTAGAAACAAACTACTCTTTGCAAAACAATCCGGATTCTTAGCTGGTCATAATACTGAACTCCAAATCACGGCTATCATTGACTTTATTTTGAATGAATTCGAAAAAGGGAAATGTGTAAATGCCTGTTTCCTTGATATCAGTTCTGCGTTTGATTCTGTTCCGCACTCTCTACTTCTCCATAAACTAGAATCTTACGGAATTTCTGGTATGACCCTAACACTTCTTAAATCCTACCTCTCAGAAAGAAAAATCTGTGTAACAGTTGATGATGTAAAATCCAACTTTTCAAATATCGGATACATTAACACAGGAGTACCTCAGGGATCTGTCCTTGGGCCACTCCTATTTCTCATCTACATAAACGATCTTCCTGACAACCTCAGATCAGAATGTTATATTTATGCGGACGACACGTCAGCCTATGCCTCTTTCAATATCGATGATAACCAAACCTTTGACCTGCAACATGATCTGAACATAATTGAACAGTGGTCTATTAAATGGCATTTACAATTTAAAGCATCAAAAAGTGCTCACATGATATTCCAACCCAAGAATATTAATAATTTTGACATTATGCCCTTATTCTTTGAAGGTGTTGAAATCCCATACAAAACTTCCCATAAACACCTGGGATTCACTTTTGACCACCGCTTAAAATTTGATGTACATATAAGTGAACTCGCAGCAAGGTGCAAAAACAACTCAATCCACTGAAATCACTTTCTTATAAATTAAAATCTAGGCACCTTGAACTTATATATAACTCCTTTATTTTACCACACCTGGACTATTGTAGTTCAATCTATGGCTCAAGCACAGCTCAAAATTTGATAAAACTCGACAGATTTCACTATAGAGCAGCACTCAGCTGCTCTGGGGCATTACATGGATCAAGTACTCTTAAAACTCTTGATTGCCTGAAGTGGAAACCACTTGAGTCCAGAAGGAGAGACAAAAATCTCATTATTATGTTTAAAATTTGTAGAAATATGGCACCCGATTATATTGTTGAATGTTTTGACCATTATAAATCTGAGCAAAGAAGGGTTCTCAGAACCCATAGACCTTTCCAAATACCGGTTAAATCAAGTGCACGACTAATTAATGGACCAGTGCTAAGATTGATCTCTGAATGGAATAAGTTATCACTAGAAGAGAGGTCTACTCCCACCATCTCTTTGTTCAAAAGTAAAATCAAAAAGAAATCTTCAAAGTTTTATGACTTCAATACAACTTCTAAACTCAATCTTTCTCGAAAACAAGAAATTACCTTAAACAGAATTAGATGCGGACTCTATTTTGAATCACAAAAGTTTGCTCATAATTTTCCCAACACAACTAATCTATGTGTCTGTGGTAAGAGTGCAACCCCTAAACACCTGATTCTGCAATGTAAGCGCCATTCAACACAAAGGAAAAACCTTGAAGAAACCCTTGAGCAGCAAAACCTTGAGACCCATCTCAGTGGACAAGACAAAATTGAATTTTTAATTTTCAAAAATTCATTCTCAATTCAACAAGATTCTCAACTAAAAGGAAGGTTCGTTGATTTTATTCTTAGCTTAACCTAACCTATTTTATTTTGATTTACTTTTCACCATTAGGTGTAGGCAACTACAGGGTGACCCAAAAAAATGCAACCCTCTATTTCTTATATATTTTTCTTAAATGGAGATTGATTGCTCTGAAATTCAATGTGGGATCCCCTGACAAAGTTTCAATAATCATAGTCTTATATTGATAGAGTTATGGTCGTTCCAAAATATGCTCCAAATGTCGCCATTTCCAATGTCAGATTTTCGGATGAATCACATTTCCTTCTTTCTGAACATGTAAACCCAAGAAATAATGTGTTCTGGGATCACAAATTCCAGATGAAGTGCTTCAAAGGCCCCTTCATTCTGTTAAATGCACAGCTTGGGCTGCCAATTTCCAAACATGAAATCATCAGCCCCATTTGGTTTGAGGTTGATATTGGCAACACTGTTACTGCTAACACACAGCGCAATATTGGCTTTCCCAGGAAGTTCTGGGGAGTTCTAGAGTGACATAGAGGCTTCAATAGACAAGAACAGTGGTTCTAGAAGGATGGAGCTACTCCTCACACTTCTAATGATAGCATAGCCTGGCTCACTTGTCATTTCTATGAGAAGATTATCTCTCCTAGGACGGAGAACCCATGGTCATCCCACAGTCTTGATCTCAATGCTCCTGACTTCTATATATGGGGTTTTTTTTATTTTAAAATAACCCTACCGCAATTGCAGAACTCCAACAAGCAATGGCTGCAAAAATTTGAGCCATACCAATGGAGAAGAATGCATCCATGTTATCAACAGTTTTCCTTGAACATCGCAAGTTTGTTTTCAGTGAAATTGACGACATCTGGCGCATATTTTGAAACAACCATAACTCTATAAATATAAGACTATGATTATTAAAACTTTGCCAGATGATCCCACATTGAATGAAGTTCTCGTGTGCCAATTCTCAGAGTAATTTACCTCCTTTTAAGAAAAATATTGAAGAAATGGAGGGTTGCATTTTTTTGGGTCACCCTGTAGTTAGCACATTTATATGTATAACTCACTCAATTAATTAAATTAATTTAATTTGTATTCATTTCAAAACGCTGGCCTGTAATGCACATTGCGCTAGGCAGCGACCTGTGTAACTCTTTTGACTGCAATATGATTGAAATAAATGTATAATGAACCGAAATAGGCCAACATCGGGTTTGGACTTTGCAAAAGTCAGTGCACAGGCCTGGTGCTGAATACGGCAAAGAAACGTAATAGTGATGACTGCACTCTGGTTTTATGCATTGTACCATGGAGTTCCCTCATTTAAAGAATCATTGAAAAGAGGAGAATGTGGCTCCATGGTACATTGAATTAAAGTTCATGATTTGTTTGTTTGTTGCGTTTTATACGCATTCTGATTGGTTGAGAACCTTCCATCAATGTAATCAGAGAACGGTCATGTTTGAATTAAAAAATACTTCCCATTAAAGCGTATGCATGATTTCGCTAGACTGTTTCAATTTCTGAACAATCTTTTTGTATTAGTACCATAGAAACAATAAAAATAACTCAATGTCAAGGTCACAGTTTTGCACAGCTAGCTCTCCAAGGTAACGAGGTGATAAATTGCAACATATGTCATGGTATTCGAATAAATTTAATTTAATTGACATAACAGTAAGCGCAGTCTCAATTACATTTCTGATTGACTGGTTAATGTTACTGAAAAAAGAATCTGATTGCCATATAATATCAAGAATAAGTAAGTACAAACCAATACTTCATTTTCATAAATACTTTTTCAGACCAAGAAAATCTGTTGCAAGGAGGATGAGCGAATAAGATGATATACGCTGCTTTCCCCGTAAATATAATATACTTCTCAAAACTAGATGTAACAGAAAACGTAGAACTGTTAATTAAATAAATACGAAAAGTATTCGTATTATGTATATCGTATTTATTTAACAGTTATACTGGTCAATTTAACCTCTTCTACTACCTGTTATATTCAGTTTTGAAAAATAATT